CCTCACCAACCCTGGGCTCCATTCTCATTTCTTCTTTTTAACTAGGAAGCTACATGTTGTGAGCTACATCTCATGGCTCCTTTCCATCTGACTTCAGCCTGGGGGCAGTTCAGAGGCTAAGAAGAAAGGCAGGATGGGTGGGGTATTTTTCCCTGTTTCTTCCCTGATTGGCATCTGTGGATCTACAATTATAGCTCCAGTCAGGAGACCTTTTCTCCAAGGCTCTAATGATACAACTTGTTCCTCTGTCCCTTCGGCAAAGAAAGGAATGGCTTTCGCTATTGCTTATTTCTAATGTCTCAGTATTCCATATTTATTAACTTGGCTCTGCACTATAAATAGCCTCTTCATTATATTTGCTTCAGAACCTCACTTTCCAGTTCCTGCTGAGACCCTGATTGATACAGATACCACCTATAGTCCCAGTCAATTCCACAACTCCAGGCCCCCCACACCCCCAAGACTCCAATCTTTTTAACAACCTGCTAGAAATTCCATTTAGATAGCCAGCTACAAGCATTTGCACCCACCATGACCCCACCAGCCTTAACTAGGCCAAGGTCAACCAGCCAACTCGACATTTTCCATTTCTCCCTCGACACACATTATCATTGATCCTTCCTTCTCATCTTCACCTCACTCTCACATATTGGGAATATTACCAAATGGTCATCTCATCTGTTATCCGATCACTGGTTCGAACCAGCAAGTTATTCTTTAAACATAGGTGGGGCTCATGACTTGGCTTCATTCAGAAAAGTTCTCAATGTCCTGTGGTTAATGGAACACTCTTCACCTTTTAACTGGGTGTTTAACATCTCTACACAGTATCTGACTTTAATTTCCCTTTGTAGAATTAGTCTGAGTTCCAAATACTCACCCCTCTCTCCCCTCACTTCAACCTTATTCCCTTTTCAAGGCTCACTAAGGTATACAAAGCTCTTCTTCAGTTCTTACAATCCTTACATCCTTTCTGACCCTTCATTTGATATTCAGTTGCTGTCACACCTTATCTCTGGTTTGCTCTTTAGCGCTCTCTATAGTCCTAATCGTAGTCCAGTCCTATTGGACTGGGAAAGTCTATAGTTAGGGACCACTCCAAATCACTGAGGAGCAATGATATCAATTTGAGAACTAAGGTGTGCCTGTTTCAGGACATACTCTTCTCAGTCACTTGTTATGCATCTGAGATCTGGACAATGACTAAAAATGAGAGAAGAAGATTTGATGTCCAACATCTATAGTGTTGGAGAAAAGCACTGAAGATACGACTGTCTTGGAGAAGGTGCAGCCAGTGTGTTCCTTGAAGACAATGATGAAGCTTTGTCTCAAATATTTTGGTCAAATTTCTAGGAGAGGTTATTCCTTTGAGAATTCCTATAATGCTTGGGAAGGTGGAGGGACAGTGAAGGAGAAGAAAACCCTAAAGCAGGTGGGTTGACACAGTAATGGTCTTGAGTGTGTAAGAAATTTTGCAGATGGCACAGGGTAAGACAGGGTTCAGATCAGTTGTTCACAGGATTGCTAGGAGTTCTACTCAACTAAGCAGCACCTAACAACAACAGCATACTTCTAATTAGTCTATGTCAGGAAATATGGAAGACAGCTGTCTGGCCAATTAATTGGAAGAGAGAGCCATATTTGTTCCTATTCACATTCCCAAGAAAAGTGACTTAACAGAATGTGAAAATTACAGAACAATATCATTAATATCACAAGCAAGCAAAGTATTATTGAAGATAACCCCAAAACAGCTAGAGCATTAACAGGGAACTGCCAAAAGTTCAAGTCGGGTTTAGAAGAGGCCCTGGCACCAGGGCTATCATTGCTGGTGTCAGATAGATCCTGGCTGAAAGCAGAAAATACCAGAAGAATGTCTATTTGTGTTTATTGACTATGCAAAGGCTTTTGTTTGTGAGAACAACAAACTATGGCTAACATTGAGAAAAATGGGAATCCCAGAATTGCGCTCATGTGAAATCTATACCTAAATCAAGAAGCTGTTGTTTGAATGGGGCAAAGGAACACTGCATGGTTTAAATTCAGGAAGGCTGTATGCAGTATTTGTCCCTTTGTGACTGAGATATTCTACTCGGCATAATGTCTTCCAGATTCATCCACATTGTGTATTGGTTTATGAGTTCATGATTTTTTGATGCTGCATAGTATTCCATTATGTGGATATGCCAGAGTTTCTCTATCTATTCAATTGTTGATAGGCATGTGAGCTGTTTACATATCTTTGCTATTGTGAATAATGCTGTGATATACACGAGTGTGCATATATCTGTGTCACAGCTCTGATTTCTTTGAGATCTATTCCCAGTAGGGGGATAGCTGGGTCAAACGGTATTTCTATTTCCAACTTTTTAAGGAAGTGCCAGACTGCCCTCCTTAGTGATTGTATTATTTTATATTCCTACCAGCAGTGTTGGAAATTTTCGGTTTCTCTGCCTCCTCATCAGCATTTTGTTGTTTGCTGTTCTATTGAGCTTTGTTATTGTTGCTGGGGTAAGATGCTATATTATTGTTGTTTTGATTTGCATCTCTCTAATAGTAATTTTGAGCACTTTTCCATGTGTTTTTGGGTCATGTGAGGTTCTTCTTTGGTGAAGCTTCTATTCATCTCTTCTGCCCATTTTGTGACTGAGATGTCTGTCTATATCTTGTTGATATGCTGGAGTATATGATAAATTTTAGTTAGGGTTCCTTATCAGATGTGTAATTACCAATTATGTCTTTCTAGTCTGTGAGCTTCCTTTTCACTCTATTGGGGTTTGGGTTTTAGGGGGTTTTTTATGCACAGAAGGATTTGACTTTTAGAAGGTCTTACTATTTTATCCTCTCCTTGCCGTAGGTGTTTATGTTATGCTGACAAGTCTATTCATGCCATATATTAGGGATTCCAAGTTTGTTCTTCTTTTTTCTCTGATGAACTGTATAGTTTTCTGTTTTATTCCTATGGCCCTGATCAAGCTCTGAGTTGGATTTTGAGTATGGTGTAGGGTGTGAATCTTGCTTCAGTATTCTGCAAATGGTTGTCTAATTTTTTCAGTGCTATTTAAGCCCACTTTTGTAATAATAGGATGGCAATTAGGGGTAAAGGGGGGAGAATGGCCAAAGAATGGATAGATAATGAACACTGCATTAGAATGGCACCAGACAGAACATGGTTCAGGTTTGTTGTTGCTTTTGTTATATGCCGTCAAGTCACTTGCGACTCATAGCGACCCTATGTAAACGGCCCTAAACCCTGCTCTGTCCTGTGCCAATCGCATTGCCTCTGACACACCCATCCCGATTACCTCAGTCACTGAATCAATCCACCTCATAGAGGGTCTTCCCCTTCTGTGCAGTCCCTCCACCCTCCCAAGCATAATGTCCCTCTCCTCTCCAAGGACCTGTCCCTCCTTACAATATGTCCAAGGTATGTCAGACAAAGCGCTAGACTCAAATCGACAACACCTAACAACAACACTAAACAGCCGTTATCTTCTGCCTCATTTATATTCTCCACAGTGAGTGAGGACAGAATGCTGATTTCAGAGCTGAGCCTTTGGCCTAGTGGGAAGGGCCAATTAGGCAAAGTGCTTCACACACTTTCCCTTCAGTAGCTACTTTAGGGACCAAAGGAAGGAAAGAATCCCAGGGCAAGTTCCACAGAAACCATGTGTTCAGCCTTACCCGCTACTCCAACAGTGCCCTCAAGTCTAACACCATTTCACCAAATAGCATCCCTGGTAGTCAGGAGCAGAGGTAGGGGGAGATATTCAGAAGAGAACTTGCCATAAGGCCTTGTAGAGAAGGGGATAAGGTGGGGGTCAGGGACACTCACTTTGAGGTTGCCGTCAGCTGTGATCCGTAGCCTGTTGCAGGTGCCACAGAAGTGCTCAGACATGGACGTGATGAAGCTGATCTGGCCTCGGAAGCTGGGGATCTTAAAAGCCTGGAGGGGAAGAGCAGTTGTAAAGGACAGAGATGAGCTACTTTGTTCAAGCTGTCGCCTCCTGTTGTTGGAAGAGGACTTGAAACATTAACTGCAGAAGACCAAGGACTACAGCCTTCAGTATGGATTAAATCTCAATGCCAAGAAAACAAAGGTCCTCACCACTGGGCCAATAGGGAACATCGTGATCGATGGTGTAAGGACTGAAGTTATCAATGATAACTCCTGCCCAGAGGCGCCCAAAGTTAGGGAGTGCTCAAGGCCCTGCAGGTGCAGGCAACAGAAGAGGCCAGGTATGATGGCCCATGAGCTCTCTGAAGCATGTTCTTGTACCTGGTGTGACCTGAGGGGAAGCTGTAAGGCTGATGGCGCCTGCAGGTGGCATATCCAGAGGAAATACAGCATGAGCAGTACCTCGTCCCTCTTGCTGAGGTTAAGTTCTTTAACAGCGTCTACTTTTTTATCCATCAAAAAACCCTGAAGTTATTGCAGATACTGCATATACTGTACTGTCCCCCACCACTGTTAATATGACTTTAATTTTCCCTTCACTAGGGTGGAGGCACTCTCTTCCCTCCCTTCCTCTTCTAGCTTCCCAACCTTGGCTGTGCTGGACTCTTCTTCTGGCAGCTTCTCCAGCTCTGGCCACCGCTGCTGCACTGTGTCCAACATCTCCTTGTAGCTGACCATCTTCTTGAAGTTCCACTTGTTGCCTGTATTTTGGTTGGAGAAGGCAAGTGGAATGGCTGAATCATCAGAGAGCAGAAAGGGCTTCAGAGTCTTCAAGTCCATCCTCCCACACAGCACAAGAATTAGCTTTCCACCCTCTCCTGTGGGAGATCAGGAGGCTCTGACCCAAATTATTACTTCAAACCACACCCATGAAGACTCTGAGGAGCCTCCAGTCCCCCTTGCCACTAATCTGGATCCGGTGCCTGCCCAGTTCCCACTCACCATCCCCAGGAAAGCTCCCAGGTCAGCACCACCCACATTTCACCTTTTCTACCACCCTTAGCATGCACTGATGCTATGTGCATGGCCCAGGTCTGCTGTCCCTCCACATCACTGACCATCGAAGGGCATGTACTCTATGAAGCGCACGTCCAGGGGGAGACCCTCAGTCAAAGCCACAAAGTCCAGAAGCTCGTCTTCATTGAGGCCTCGCATCACCACACAGTTCACCTGACCAGAGAACAAGATGACAATGAAGGCTGCCCACTTCCTTCTATGCGAATGATCTTTAGGGGTCTGGTGTGTAGCTAAGTGTGTCAAGGGGTGGGCCATTTCTTATCTGCCCCCAGTTCTCCTCTAGCTAGGAAATAATTCCACGGGTGCATCAATCTTCCCCCTCATCCTCATGTGGGACCAGTACTATATGCAAGTGGCAAGGGAATCATGGTACTGGAGATACACCTCCAATACTAGCGGCCTAACTAGGGTTGGGAGCTGTCCAAGAGGCTAGGAAGGTAGAAGGAGGTCAAACCAAGTGGCACAGGAAGTCAGTGTGGGCAGCACTGGCCAGTGCTCACCTTCACGGGGTTGTAGCCCAGCTCGATGGCTTTGTGGATGCCCTCCATGACTTTGTGGAAACCTGCAGAGAGGAAGGAAAGAGAAGGGTCAGGGACCTCTTCCTCCTCCTGTCTCCATCCCACAACACACAGGAAAGTGCCTACTGCTGTGAGGAGCCGAGAGACAACCTAGCTTGGGAGTCAGTAACTTCCTTTTACAGTAAACTTTCTTCTTTTAAAGAAGAGACAGTAAATTTATTAGGCTTTGGGGGCTAATAGGAAAAATATTAAGTACATATGGCCTAGTGACTAAGTGTTCAGCTGTTAATCAAAATGTCAGAGTTTCTTTTCCTCCCACCAGTCCCATGGCAGGATAAAGATCTAGCAATCCACTTCCATAATGGATTACGGCTTTGGAAGCCCCCATTGGCAATCCTAGTCTGTTCTACTGGGTTGTTGAGTTAGAATTCACTCAATGACAATGACTTTGGTTTAGGTATAGGTCAAAAAGTTCTTGCTAACCAAACTAAAAATGTACAAAAAATTTATAAAGTGCAATTAATTTTATATAATATTTGTCTACACAATTTTTTTATAGGAAGGGTGGATAAATTTTCCCTAATTGGGGTTCAGAGTTTATATTTCCTATCATTAAATTAAGGAGCTCTTGATATGTTATGTATTGGACTGCTAACCAACAGGTCATGGGCTCAAATCATCCAGCTGCTCCTCAAGAAATAGGCAGTCTTGTAAATATTTACAGCCTCAGAAGCCCAGTGGAGGTCATCCTGACTGGATGAAAATGCATTTGGTTAGGGGTATCGTCAAATTGATTGAAAATGTTCATTTATAAAATGCATTCTTGGCTCATGAGCTATAGAAAAATAGTAGTTAATCAACTAGCTTATTATTCTTTGATCCCGAGAGCCCCCAATGGTGTGGCTCTGGAGACAAAGGACATTTAGCGGAAATAAAGGGTAAAGAATAAACATCTAGGCTTCTCTCCAGCCCAGAGACTAAAGAGAAACCAGGCTCCTTGCTTGGCCCCAGCCACACACTCCCCAGCAACATGGGCCCTAGGGTGGACATCCAATCACCTCTCCGACGGACGATGAACTCAAACTTGGCTGGTACTAGGGTGTCCAGGCTGATGTTGATGGCACTGAGGCCTGCTTTCTGAAGCTGGGGTAGCAGCCGGGCGAGGTTGATGCCGTTGGTTGTAACGCCAATGGTCCTGAGGCCTTCCAGCTCGTGAAGCTGGGCTGGAGGGAAAATAGGAAAGGATGTCAGACTACTTGTTTTTGGTAAGGCCAGGAATAGGAGTGGAATGCAAAATTTAGTGTAAACTTAATGAGTGGCCAAAGACTATCTGGATTAGATGATGAGTGAACTACTTCTGTTTTTATAAAAACCTTTTTATTGGCATTCGGGTGCAAGTGTACAGGACAACTTAGTCCTCCAATCAACAATTCATAGATACGGTGTTTCATGACTTTGACCGTACGTCCCACAATGCAGCTTTGCTCATCCCACTTCCTCCCGTGTTAAGAATCTTGTTCCCATCATTCTTTCCTAACTATTCTGGCCTTCTGAACTTTGTCTCTGGACAAATGTTGCCCTTTTGATCTTATATGGTTGACTGCAGACTTCCATTAACCAGATCCGTTTTAATAAGAAACATAACACACTGACAAAAACAACATCTAAAGCCTGAGTGTTCTCTCTGTGTTAAGATGGCCAGCTGAGGCCTTTGCTTACGTCAGCTCATTGAAACCGAACAAAAACTGCTATGCCCACTTAATAGATAAGAAAATGGTGGCTCAGATTGAAAAACAAAATTGTTACCTAGCTAGCAATAAGAACTGTTAATAGTAGTGCCTGGATGGTGTAAACAGTTTATGTGTTTGTTCTTGCCATTAGATGTCAAAGTTGACCATAACTCAGAGCAACTTGATGAATAAAACACTGCATTTGGCCTGTCCTGTGGCAAATGCATCATGCTTAAGCCCACCGTTACAGTCGTGTTCATTCATCTTCTTCAGTCTTCCTCTTTCTCTGACCCTCTCCTTTCCCAAGATGCTATCTCGCCCCTCCCCCCCCCAGGACAGGCCTCTCCTGACAAATATATGAATCAAAGTTCACTATTCTTATCTATAAGGAACACTCCAGTTGCACTTCTGTCAAGACAGATTTCCTTGTTCTTTTAGCAGTCCATGCATATTTAATACTCTTCTCCAACATTACAATTCAAAGGCATCAAAACATGCTGGAGTGATAACCAAAAGGTTAGCGGTTCATATCCACCTATAGCTGTCTTGGAAGTGCACCCTGTGAACTACTTCTGAAAATTCAACTGCTGAAAGCCATGAGGAACAAAACTATGATTTGAGTGTAAGCTAACAGAGCAACTTCATTTTCTATGCATTAATTCATACATATTTACTCCCCTCTCACAGTGGTTAAATGAAAAGAATAACAACTAGGATTCAAATCTATGTGTTCTCAGCTCCAGGACTGTGCTCCTAACAACATGAGTCCTGATAGTATACTGTATAATAGAAACAACAGAATTTGAGTAAAGGGCTAAATAAACTACTTTATTCCACTAGAAAGTCCTAGAAATGACAAGAGGATTTTTAAAAAGATCCATAACCCAAATGGCCAACAGTAGAAAACTGGTTAAATTGTGTTTCCTCTGGATAATGCAGTATTATGCAGGCAAAATGTTTCTGTAAAATAACACAGTGCAAGAAAATGCGTATGCTATATAAAATGAAGAGTAATCGGTGGTTCAAATCTACCAGTGGGAAATGTGCAGCCTCTCCCCGTTATGACTTACTGCCTCAGAAACCCAATGGAGGATCACTAGTAATTGGAACTAATTCGATGGCAAACAACAGAGGCCTAACTTGGTGATGACAATATTACAAGTTCAGTTCCAGACTACAACAATAAAGCCAATGTCACAATAAAATGAGTCACATGAATTATTGTTTTGTTCATTTCACAGTGTATATACAAGGTATGTTTATACTATCCTGGAGTCTATTAACCCTGCAGTAGCATTATGAGAAAGTGTGAAATATATGAGAGTTACTGAAATGTGACACAGAAACGGTAAGTTAGCACATGCCAAAATGGCACGAAGAGGCCTGCTCACACAAGGGTTAATGCAAAAACCATCGTACCTGGGAAGAAAGGTATGCTTGTATTGTCTGTGCTTTTCTGAAATAAGCATTTGTTCCACTTGTATTAAGAACATTAAAGTTTAAAAATAAAGTTACTGTAAAAAGAAGGAAAAAGTGTTCCACTGTGGCTCTGCCAACATGGAAAATTAGGCGTATTTTCTGGTTCCCTCCACCAAACAATCCCTAAGAAACTATACAGAGGAACACAGAATCCAAGAACTTAACAAAAATTCTTGAGCAACACACGGGAAGATGGATGGTTGTTTTGAACTGAAGTGAGGCAGGAGGTAGTAGTCTGGGGCTGAAAGCCACTGGCAGAGAACGTGAGCAGAAATGGAAAGCAGAGCAGTCGAAACTCCGTTCTTGCTTGTACCCACTTGTGCCAGAAAACAGTCACTGTCTGTCCCCCTTCTGAAAGACCTGGGCCATTACTGCAGGCCTTTTGGAATCCACCTGAGGCAGATGGAGAGAAACCATCAGAGCTCTGCTGCTGGAAGGACCACTGAAGACAAAAGAGGAGGAAGTAGGCCTCAGGGAGTCCCTCCTCCACCCTTCCTCTGCAGTGTCCAAGCCTGGTGGCCTTCCAACTCTGCTTCTCCCCACTGAAGGTGAAGACCTGTAGGAATTGCAAGTTACACAACTCTAGCGGAAGTCACTCTCACCATAACCCAACCAACTCTAAGTAACTAACACCTCTTGGCATTTTGTAATTTACAACTTGTGAAATCTTCTATGACAGTGCAGGATGGTACACATAAATAAGCATCTGTGATATTTTGGGGTCTGAGGTAAACAACTTCTTCTTTTCAAGAGCTCCCTGGACAACATAGAAAGGCTAGGATCTGACTATGCAAAGGAACATAACAAATAAGTAATAAAATGGACACAGAAGAGAAGGAAGTAGGCTGAAGATTATACTCAGGAGAAAGAGGATGATTTT